CTCATAGATATATAAAATAAATGTTATTTTATATCAAATCAGATATCTACCAAAGTCGTTTATTAATTATTGATATGGTCCATGCAATATATAAAATGCCTTGTTAAACACGAAAAATAAATTAATATATTATGTTCTATTCAAATAAAATAAAATATTTTTTACATGAATGTGGTTAAGAATGCATTCTTTTCTTAAAAGAATGCAAATATGAATTCACTCTTTTTGAAAAATTGAATGTTGGATGCGAATACATTCAATTTTAAGCTCTATGAATGTAAATGTGAATGCATTCACTTTTTGAATGAATGTTCCAAACCCTGCATATACATAATACATGTCAAAACACAATTAAACTGAAGTTTGAAATTTATTTATGTTTTGGTTTGGTTTTTAAAATTGTATTCAGTTTATTGTCTTTTACCTTGAGGTTTTCAGCTGCAATGTCTGATAACAGTCGTTTTTCAGATAAACTATTTATAATTCCTTTTAAGGATGTAACTTTATTTTTTAAGCGCTTATTACTAGCAGCTAACACTTTATTCCTAGATCTTAAGCTTAAAACAGTAGATCTAACAACTTTAAGATTTCTTTTTGCTCTGCGTGGTGTCAAAAAGTCATTTTCACTTAAATCTCCAAACCGAGAAGAGTTGCTGTACTTTAAGCATCTTTTAGATGTCTTAAACATTTCCACATCTAATTTTCTGTTAAATAAAATTTAAAAATTGTTAAAAAAAAAAAAAAAAATTAGTTGTTAATTTATTACCTTTTTGGAGTATTCAATTTAGGAGTAGAAGATTGTTCATGAGTTGGATTGAGAGTCAAACTAATGTAATTTCCAAAACTTTCTCTAAATTCAATAACCATATTATTGAAACATTTAAATTTAAAAATAATGTCAAATAAATGATATGCATATAGTGTTGTAGAAATACCTCTCAGGAGTTGTTGGTGAGCTAATATTATGTTCAAGAGTCAAATTAGTGTCACTTTCAACATCTTTAACTCCATTGCTAAAAGATACATTTTCATCATTCTCGGTCTCAATTATTGTACATATCTGCTTGTCTATGTTTGAATGTGGTATAGCATTTGTATTTAATATACGTAACTTCAAAGTGTCACTACTGAAGTCATTTACTTTGAAATGATTTGAACATATTCTGTGCCAAGGTTTTGCATTTTGTAATCGCAAGTTATGTAGCCAAATTTTTTTTCGTTCACTATCTTTAGGGAAACTAAAACAGCAAACAAAAATATATAAGCATAAGATAAATAATATTAAAAAGTGAAGGATGTAATGTGTCCAAATAAGAAACATACCTATGAAAAGATAGGTCTGGATTACGATGGGCATTATTTTTGCAAAACACACATGTTAGAACCATTTTAAATTTTTAGTTCTTAAAATGAATGTCAAAAACTAAAAACAAATTGAATAATGAATTAAGAATTTTGAATATTGATCAACTCATCAAATTATTCGGTAATCAGTATAATGTATGATAAATTGATAAGTGATAACGAATATGTGATAATTCGCCTCAGTTTTCTTCTCCTTTCACGCCCCTCCGGGATCACGACCACACTTGAGATAAGCATAGCCATGGCCTATCCATTTCTTTATTATCTATGGCGGTTGTCGATACAATAGTGATATTGATAATGATGATAATAATTACAGTGTTCCCATAACATCCCCCTTTTTAACCATAGGTAACATTCTCAATTTTTGATATTAACAAAATAATAACAATTACAATATTAAACAATCTTAAATTCTTATACCTATTAACATTTTTTTTTTTTTTTTTAAACATTCTTAAATTTTTATATTATTACATGTATTCCTCTAAATGCTTAGGTTTTTTTATTATCCTCCCACTCTTAGTTTGTGTTCCTTTAACTATTTCCTTTTTATTTTGATTTCCTTTATTTAATTCCTTTTCATTTTTGTTTTGGTTTCCTTTAATTAATTCCTTTTCACTTTTGTTTTGGTTTCCTTTAATTAATTCCTTTTCACTTTTGTTTTGGTTTCCTTTATTTAATTCCTTTTCACTTTTCTCTTTCTCTTGATCCTTTATTTCTGTTTTTTTTTATTCTTATTTCAGTATCACTACTATCACCATAATCATATCCAGGATCCCATATTAGGTGTTTTCTGTTTCTTTCAACTGTCTGTCCATTACTTAGTTTAATGACAAATGAATTTGGTCTATTACATACCGAAATCACTTTTCCATGAATGTATGGTTTCCTATTATCCATATTAACAAAAACATGATAACCTTCCTTTATTGGTATTAGTTTTTTAGCATTTTTATCATATTGTTTTTTATCAATTTTTTGTTTACTAGTTATTGCCTTTTTAACTGAGTTATAGTTAATTTTTCTTGTCCAAATCTTAGGAACAATACCTCTCACATTCCTATTGAACATTATTTCATTTGGTGTTTAATTTTCATTTAGAATGGGTGTATTTTTCAATTCTAACATCGCTAAATAAATATCTTTTTTGTCTGCTACAACTTTTTTAAATATGTTTTTAACTGTTTGAATATTTCTCTCTGCCATACCATTACTTTGTGGGTACCTAGGACTTGAAGTTTTGTGTTCAGTTTTGGAGATTTATATATTTAGTTTATTATTATAATTTATATTGTACTACCTCTGACTAGGCAGTAGTTTCAACTGTACAAGGACAAAAATCTTCACTAAAAACAAATTTTTCTTCGAAAAAATGTACAAAAAAGTAGAATGCAATTAAATTTAAATTCCATTAAGGCATCTAAATTTAACTTTAGATCTCAGCATAAAAATTCCTTTAAATTCAATGAATCATAAAATTAATTTTTTAATTTATTTACCTTTGGGTACAAGCATTTCATTAATGTAATTTTCTAAAGATCCAACACTGACTTGAGTGGTTCTTTCTGTCTGATTAAAACCATAAAGCATATTATAATTTATAAATACTAAAGAATAAACATGTATATTTACGTTATTAGTTGATTCACTTACCATTGAATGCAATTCGTTTGGGGATAGGTATTGAGTCATCTAAGGTGTCTAAATGGGTGTCTAAGTTATGCTTCTTTGTAATGTTTATACTTTTTTTATTTGAGAATGATTGAATATTTAAGCACTTTTGTTTTGACTTAACACTTTTACACGCTTGAGTATGACACAACCAATAGATAGAATTCATTCAAGGTTTTTTTGCCACATAGCATTTTGTGACGAAAACATGGCGAAATAGAAGTTCGTTACTTGGTTAATTTATTTTTACAAATCACTCAATAGTCGAGCTCAAACACTGTCTATATTAGGCTAAAGCAACTGTATAGCATAATTTTGAATATTTATACTAGTACGATACACCGGCCGCGAGGAACGCTCAAGTTGCTGCCGCTAGCGGCAGCGGCCAACTACCAACACCGGCGTCTCACGTAGTCACGTCTGACACAATTTCCATGTTCCATCATATTTTCAGTTTTCTCTCGATTTCCAAATTACCGTGATTTGGTGAATTATTTTGTATTGTAATTTGTTTTAATTTTCAAAACAATCTTGATGATGGGTCGTGCAGCATACAAATATTGTATACAAGGTTGCTCGTATAAGGGTAAGTGTTTATAATTTATTACCAACTTTGATTTATGCTTTATCTTTATCTAGATAGAAAAATACTTATCCGATCCGAACACTGATGATTACTAGGTATATAATATATTAATGCCTATTTATTATACTACCTGTTCTAGTATTTCTGCTAGTACCATTGATTATAAATACTAATAATACTTATAATCAATGATATTATTAAAATGAAAACGAACAGCACATCATACTCCAGAAACTTAGTATAACTATAACTTTAAATGAATTTAGTATTAAAGTGAATAATCTTTTGCTCAAACTAAGTACCTACTTAAATATTTTATTTTATAATACATGAATGTAGGTGGAATGTGAATGTAGGTGGAACATCGCATAGATTTCCCAACCCCCAATCAAATTTGTTGATGTTTCAAAAATGGATGAAGTTATATTGAATGATGACTTCAAAGATATGGAGTCTTCTGTGATTTATGAAAAGCGCAGAGTATGTTCAAATCATTTTAGTACAGTACTCCCTCGTTAACACGAACACGACGGGACCACAAAATAACCTGTTCGTGTTAAAAGAATTTGTGTAAACCGATAGGTTTAACACGAATTTCTTCGTGTTATCAGAGAAGATTAAATCTAATACGTTATTTTACACTCAAATACATTTATTTTATTAACACGTTGACCGCCATGTGACCGCGGGCTGTCACATTCTTGTATATTTTTAAATAGACTTTATTATGCTGGCGCTGAAGTAATGATACGAATAATATTACCATTGCATAGAGAAGAAAATTTTACATCGATCGGTATATTTTTTACCTCTATTGGATTTTTTTAAGTTGTAGAAATAAATGATTAAAAACATTATTCTATTGCTTTAATTTTTTTTATTATTATTATGTATGATGGATTTTTAAATAATTAAACATGTCAAAATTAAAAGATAAAATAAAAAAAAATACTAATTTATATGGTGTATATTAAAACAATTTATACAGGTATACATTTTACAAGTTATACAAAATGTTGAAACTTTTTTTACTTCTCTAGTTTTTGCGGTCCCCTCAACATCTTTTATACTTTGATAGCAATGAACGCATCTTTTTCGAAGTTTTCGATTCCTATTACACTTTTCCGTAGATTCTTGAAAATAATGTTTCGTATTTCCTTTTGATCGTTTGTTTCCAGACGTTGATGGTTCATTTACGATAGATTCATTTTGTTTTTGAAGTTCTAACATTTGATCAACTAATATTTCTCGAAATTGGGTAATTTTTAATTTTCTTTCATGCATTTTATTATAAACAATTAAAGCGTTTACAACAGCCGTTCCTAGTAATATTTCCGTAGCGACTTTGTGGTACCATCGGATTGATTTCCTGACCGCTGTACTATAACTTGAAAGTTGATCAGATAGATCAATGCCTGCCTTGCCATAGTTATAATTAATTATAATTTCGGGTTTCACAATATTTTCTTTATTTTTATTTTTTTTACCGGTATCTATCATGGCAATACGGTGTCGAGTCGACAACATAGTAACGTCTCGTTTATCTTTCCATTTAGCAACAACAATTCCTTCTGCATTTTCCTTACCAACAATTTCTCCTCGTTTTAACTTCGCATCAGTTACTCCTGGTACCCGAACTCTATTAGAGCGTAGTGTTCCTGTTAAATGTGTTTTATTTTTCAAAAGTTCATATGCTAGGGGTAATGAAGTGTAAAAATTATCTGTGGTTATTTTCCGATTAGCATTCAAATACATCTGACATAGATTTAACACAACTTTGCACGCAAGCTTTTTCCCATCAACTTGGCTTTTACCTGCATATATTTGCACATTATATGTGTACCCATTTGTTCCACATAACTTAAACAATTTTACGCCATATTTATGTGATTTTCCGGGTATGTACTGCCTGAACCCCAACCTCCCACGAAAAGGGACCATAGTCTCGTCAACAGTTAAATCTTCATCTGGTTTCATTACATTTTGAAAATTATAAATCATTTTTTCAACTAAATTGCGTACTTTATAAATTTTATCACCATCCAATTTTTCATTATCGGAAAAATGTAAAAACCGGAGAACTAATTGAAAGCGGTTTCTAGGTATGATTTTATGTGCCACGTAATTTTTATATCTAGTACTATTACACCAATAGTCTTTTAGAGCTGGCATTTGTACTAGCCCCATCCATATAATTAACCCGAAAAATTTTTGAATTTCATTTTCGTTTGTAGGTATCCATTTAGCGAATCGGCTGGATTTGGTCAATCTATTTTTTGACAGGAATTGTTCAGCATTTCTATTGGTTTCAACCACAATTAAATCAATTATTTCACTTGTAAAAAATAATTTAAAAATGTCCAAAACAGAAGAATCCAGGGGGTATATCAATTTTTAATCCGGAATATGTATTATTGAAGAAAAATTGTTTTTGATTTTTGCCTGTTACATCATTCCAAACTTCGATGCGCGTAGAATTCGAAGAACTTACAGGTGAACTATCTATTTTTTCATCGTTAATCGATTCTATAGAAAAATTTAAACAATTTTAATTACCTAGTTATATATTTAAATATAAATAATCATACTTGCCTAATTACGTAAAAATATTTTAAATAAATATATCTATTATTTTTATTATAAAATAAAATTGTATGATATATATTATTTTTAACTCCCTTTCCTATAGATTTTAAAGAAAAAAAAAACTTTTTCTTACCTTCAACATCACTTTCAACATAAGACTGAAGAATTTGGATTGTATGTAACATCTTCGTTAGTGTCATCAAAATCACTAAATTCACTAGAATTACTAGAATTATCAATTTCAAGTATTTGATTTATTAGATTGTCATTTAGTTTAG